ACTGCATGTCGCACCGTTTTATGGGTGAAAATAAACCATAAGAAGGTCCAATCTAATCTATAAAAATGATCAAATATAACCACATGGCTGCAAGGAAAAATAAAAAACAAATTGTAAAAATGGAAATGACTTATTAAAGTAAAATCGCTGAAAAACAGCTTCATTGTTTTCTAGTAAATTTTTATGGCTAATCTTCAAAATTTTAAGAAAGTAAAGATTTTCTGACATGATGTAAGTGTATAACTTAAATTAATCTCATTTAGTAGAAATAAGTTAATCATCTGCTAGATTAACAGTTTTTAGACATTCAAAAACATATTACTGCATAATCTTAAAACTTAAAGTGAAAGCAATATATCCTTTCCATCTCTACATTAAATGAACTCTGCAGAGTGATGTTGCAGGATCGCTGCTTTCTGTGCGAGGGTTTGGGTAAGACTGCACTTTCACCCTAAGGTCAGAACCAGAGTAGCACTTTTGCTGATCAAAGGGAAAATTGGACCAAACATAAGCATTTGGACCACTCAAGTGTCCATCTGGTATGACATTCAAAAACGAAGCTCAGAAGTGCTCTATTCTTGCACATATGTCGCCCAAAAATGGCGGATTTGGCAGTCACAGTGGAGAGGAGTCTACTGTAATGTGCCCACGTAAACATGGTGGGAGAGTCTCACACAGAGTAGTTTGTTAGAGCAGCAGAAACGTTACAACATAGCTTATGGTTAAATCAAATTACTATAGAGTTCTTTTTTATGCTGTGTTCCAGATACTTTGGAAGTCAGAACTTGATGCTAACAGAGTTAAGAAGTTGAAATTTCAGCATGTGACGCCCATGGACATTGTTTGCAGTACCTGTTACAAACATCATTTAAGCTTTACTTTCTATTTCACTACTGTTAATTTATTTTCTTTAGAGTGAACGGCGCTACATGTAACACTGCTTTTAAATGCCTCTCTGTGAGGAGCGGCCATGTTGAAACATGATGTTGGCCTTTGAAGTTGCTCCCACTTTCCCAGTGGGAAGTCCGACTTCATATGGCGTGCCCGTTGATTTTTCCGACTGGAAAGTTGCAATCTCCCATTTCAGAGTACAACTGGAATGCAGCGTTACCATGACACTGCAAAACCCACCCCAAACCAGCAGGTGGTGTTAAAATTTACTTTTACAATACATAAGAATGCAAGCAAAAATCACCCTGACCATTTACAGATGGAGATTTTTTTTCAGAAAGAAATTCTTTATAGTTTTCAATTTGACACTATTAAGGCTTTCAGTACATGAATAATGTTGGCTGGTGGAAAGCTTTGATTTAAGCTAGCCAGCAGTAGAAAAACTTAAAACACAAGTTTTAGACGAACCCTATGTTTACTCCCAGTAGTTTGTTCATATTAATTTAAATCCCTCTATTACTGTACTTCCAATGTTGAACTGGCTGTCAGCAGGGATAATACATTATTTATTCATTTAGCTTTAACTCAGGCTGCTATGAATGTTTTTTCTAAACTGAAATGTGATGTAATTTGTAGACAATAATTTGTCTACCAAGATGCATTTCAGTTACCTAAACCTTCCTGAAGCACATTGGATCTGAGGTAAAAAGATCATCTTAATCCTAGAAAACATCCAATAACCTGCCTGCTTGAGTACGACATCACTCATTGAAGATACCCAAGAAGGGAATCTTCAAGGTACTGGCAACTTGTCTTCTGTTCATATTTCATTATGCAACCTGTTGGTGCCAGAGGCAACCCTGTCACACAATCACGAGATCTTTATTGTAAAGAAAAAAAAATGTTCCGGCACATGTAGGCAACCGACTTCTTCATACGGTTTGCCTGGAACGGCGAGGCAAGACGCGTGGGGAAAAAAAAAAAAAAAAGAAACATTCCTTCTGTCACATACATCTACGAACGAGAGACATTCTGCTCAGGAAGACAGATTGAGACTCAACACCTCACTTCATGCCAAGCTGCTGCTCCTCATAAAGGCCCATTTAAATGTATAGAGGGGTGAAACTTAGAAAAAAAAAAAAAACTTGTCGGCTGGAGGTTAGGAAACTTCCTCTATCAGGAGGATTCCCCCAGGGGTTGTTAGAGGCAGAACCACACAGCTTTCACCCCACGAGACGTATTGTTAGTGGAATGAGCAGGCAGAATTTGATTAAAACATTTCAAACATCATTTGGCCCACAATGTGGCGCCAAGATGCTCCCCCGCAGAGTGCACTTAACACCCCGATGATCAGAGGCGGGAGTCCTCTTACACCAGCTCAAAGGTGAGCCAACAAATCACTGTAATGCATTCAGCGTGCGGTTTCGCTCTCGCAGTCGCTGCCTCCCGCCCCTCCTCCTCCGCCGTTCCCCAACAATCGTCGTTAAAAATTCATTAGACGCTGTTTGTGTCGCCTCTTCGAGGATGTCGCCCTTGATGGCCAGCTGTGTGAGAAAAAGGCAGCTTCGAACGGGCCGGAGGGGATTGATGGAGCTCCCGGTGTGAGCTGAGGTACTCTCCGTGGCTTTGATGCATGCGTCAGATTACCGGGTTACAGACATGCTCAGAGTCGGAATGAGATTCTCAAGGAGCTTAGAGCATAACCACAGACCGCAAAGCCCGGCAGGTTTAACTGCTGTTGGGGCTCTTGCAGCAAAAGGGCACTTGGAGACTTTAAAGTCGCACTAGTGGGATGCAAGTCCGATATATAGAGAAGGCTCAAACGTTGCAAATTACTCGTAGTTCTGGTGAGTTTGTGGTGTTCCTCAGTTGGCTTCACACCATATGAAGGAACGACCCTCTGTACGAAGCGAAGAACAAGTGGCTGGTTTTTACCAGTCATGCAAATAGATAAAAGAAACGGTAAGGGTACCACACTTCTAACTTTAACTTTAGTCACTTGGATTTAATTCGCCTTTACCGGTTTTTATGGTCAGGTGTGCAATATATTAATATTGCAGACCATTCTGCATGACCAATCTCTACCAGATGGGATTTTAAGACTGGAAAATCTCTCAAAAATCTTCTATAGACGTTAACTTGCTAAAAGTACATCTTCTTTTTCCTTTCTTTGCTAAAGTTAGATTAGAGTTTTTGACATAAAAACTCAAGGTATTAAAGAAAGAAGTTGATCAAGAAATTAAAAGTTAATTTAAATCACTAAAGCTGCTGCTTGCATGATGATGACTGATTAATCAGCAGGAAAAGTTCATTTTAGGACCTGAAGAACGACATAAGAGCCACAGCTAAAACTGACCACACTCCCATTGTAATGTCACTTTTCTGTGATGTAACAAAATGAAACATTTTCAACATATAATGTGTCCTTTTCCTTCTACAATTCAAATCATTCAAAGGAAGAAAAAAATGGTGAGGGAGTCCAGTTACACAAGTGGGAACAAATACTTTGTTGAAGCTCCTCTGTGTTGATTTCAGCTGCTGCCTTTATTCTTTGGTCCAACAGTCTCTCAGATCTCAGATTATAGAAGCGATCTGTCGTTTTTCAGTGAACACAGACTTTCCATCAAATTTGGTTCTCAATATTGGTAGATAAAAAAAGTCATTTTCTAGATGTGGTTGTTGTGCTTCGACACAGTGATTAAAAAAAAAAAAATCCCTCTTCAGCTTTCTAAAAACACCTGAATGTTGAAACGATTCACTCATTTAAATGTTTTAAATTATACTTTACATTGAATAATCCTCATTTATAATCATGACAAATGAATATGAGTAACGACTACTGATATACAGGATTAATGGTTGACTTAATTACTTGTAAACATTATTTTTAAACCTTGAGTTCTTGAACTATCGAGCACAAAAGACTTGATGTAAACAGAACTTGAGTTGATTTAGTAAAACTAGACGACCATCTTAGTGGAATCTCTTACCGTAAATTAGTAATTTACTAATTACTAAAAACTCATTTGGGTTTACAGTGTTTGTAGTTTCTGTTTTACGTTTTCATCTGTCTTAGAGAAAACCCACATTTTTTTTGTTTTGGGATTCCGCTCCATTGTATTATATGTACATAAAGTTGTGTATTTTTATCACCTTCTTCTGACTGATGCATTATACAATTTGCTAAAAGATGCAAATGATCTAATGTTGGGAAGATTCTACAAACACAGGACAGTTTTATTGGATGCTTGTGCGTCCAGTAACATTGAATGCTGTTTGTTTGTCCAACATTATTGGACCATTTTAATTGTAACATTATCTTTGACTGATTTGCGTCTCCATTGAATTTAAGAGGAAACATGCCATTTTAAAGGCAAAAAAAGGCTCGAAATGATTCATTGTGGTTTTATTTTCTTGCATTTTATCCAGGGTGTATGCTGTTTTGAGACCCACTTTTATTTTCCGTAATCTTTGCAGTTCTTTGGCGAGAAGGCAATTTTTGGGAAGGCAATTTCCCAAATTCTTAAAAATACTAGGTTTTCAGTCACTCACAATCCGCTAATCATGCTCAGTGGCTCCCCAAAAGTTGCAGCAGTAAAGGAGCAGTAAAGTAGTGAGGAGACGAACAGGAGCCAAAGCCCTTGACACAGGAGAATCACCTGCCTATTGGACCGGTGAGGCGGGTCGGGCAGATAGGAGCTTGGCCGGCACAGTCAGTGCACTTGGGCTAAGTCCTGTCCTGCTGCACCACGGCAGCCCGCCGGCCATAATGAAATCTGACAGGATGTAAATGAGTTTTTTAAAGAGCTGGTGAAAGCTGGTCATTTTACTCATTTAGTGGTCCAGTGTGTTTGGCTGGGTCTCCACCTGCCCTTACACGGCACACTCCACAAAACCTTGATCTCCTATAGAGCAAACTTGTATTTCATTCAAATAAAAATATTCCTTCTATGTTGTTCAAATAATTTTCTTTGAAATGACTTGAAAATTTAGAATGATCACTTTGAAGGTTGGAAGAGAAAGTAAGATGGAGATTTTTACTGTTTATTAAATAAAGGGAAATGTGAGATATTTTGGAGAAGAAAAATACAAACAAGTGTTCAGGATGCATTAGTGGGAAATCAACCATATCTGAAAACTGCTGATATCTACTAATGATTTACTTGATTAACCCCTAAAGGTTATTTTAGCAAATGAAAAAAACAACATTGGTTTTGGCACAGAATTGCGAATTTTCCTCCACATTTACTTCATATGCAGATTTGGTGGTGCATCTCTGTGGATCTCTTTTTTATTATCTGCCTTGTGTCTTTTAAATGACATTTAAATGACAGATTTTTAGGGTCGTCTCAAGTAAACTTCTTATAAACATTTCAAACTAAACTTAAAATCCATCTGACATTGCTTATATTTTTTTCAAATAGTTGAAGAGCTTTTTGCTCAAAAGCTCTTAATTTTAATAGGTGCCTTCTCATAAAAATATACCCTGCAATGTGATTTTTTTTTTATGTGCAGTGACCTTTAAGAATCGTTTGACTCTTTTCAAAGAGTCGTTTGACACAGTCAGTTCAGATCATCGGTTCTTCTTAGACATATTGGATGATGACATACTTCTTGGGGCAATGCTAGCAAATGTCTGAAAACCTTTTTCCATTTCTCACTAAGTTTACCTTTAATGAGCTTATTCAGCTATTACATTTAATCCCCTGTTTCTGTGCAATATCAGTCACACCTGCAGGTTAATGAGCAGTTTGAATGTTGTTGCTTGGGTTTGTTTATTTTCCTCCTCTCTGTGGTTGTGCCTGTTTAAAAATTAAATGACTACTTGAAATGGCACTTTCTATTTAATTGGGTTTGTTGAGTTTATTAGTAAGGGCCTTCCATATAGCTTCCCCAGGTAGCTGCTGGAAAAAAAATAAAAAAACCCCAGTGCACCCCCTGTTGGGAGCCGCTGGCATTAAAGACCTGTTGTGCTGCTTTAAAGATTTGTTTATGCACCGTTTAGACAAAAATAAACACTAGCTATTAAGATGATTACAGGTGTCTGCATTTTAATGAGGATTTATAATAGCAAATAAACTCAATGTAACAGACTATTAGGATTAGGTCTGTCCTATTAATTATTTACCTATAAACTAGCAAACAGAAGTGGAGAGTCCTGCAAGGAGAAACTCTTCTGTTTGATCCAGCTGTCTCATGCAGACGCTCCCAGGGAGGTTCACCAGCACCACTGCAGCATTAATGAGCAGCAATAATGACTAAAGGCACTTAGTTAGAGTTAAATGGAGCTTGAACACCCAGCTGACAATGAGCTATCTACCACAGAGAGGGTTATCAGGCTGAGTTCAGAACCAGAGCTCTAAAGCTTGAGCTAATACTGTACACAATACTATGGCCTTGCTATAGTGTTCGAACCTCTTGAGTGTTTTAATAAGTTTCGCTGAGACCAAAATTGAACTTTCTAGCCTAAATGATTTTTGTTGTTAAAAGGCAGCATCATCCTGTGGGGTCCTGGAATCCTGGAAGAAAACTCACCATAGGCTGCAAAAGAGGTTTTCGCTCCTTGAAGTGAGTAACAGTGACGTTTTTGATGTCATGCTATACTATGTCTCTTTCTACCTAATTTTCTACATCATTTTATATTTTGAGTCATTTTCGCCCGTTTTGAACGTCATCATTTTTGTTGTCATAGAATACTGTGAGATTTTACCTAATTTTCAATGTCATACTATATACCATGTCTCAGTTGGCCTCATTTTTGATGTGGGTCATTTTACCTCATTTCAACATCATGATATATGCTATGTGTAATTTTACTTCCTTTTCAACATATTATATACTGAATTTCGACATCTTTGTTATGTTCACTCTTTTCTGTTGTGCCATTTTATCTCCATTTCAATGTCATACAAAAATCATGTGATTTTGCCAAATTTTTGAAGTGATGTCTGTGTCATTTTACCTAATTTTAAGTATTATACTGTCATTTTATCTCAGTTTTGACACCCAAATATACTATGCATCATTTTACCTTTTTCTACATCATAGAATTCATGCAATGTATACTATGTCTCATTTTGCCTCATTTAGAGGTCATACAATACTATGTACAGTATGTATACTATGCAAAATGACACATATACTAATATGTCAAACTTGAGCCAAAATGAGATGTAGTATACTATGTCTCATAGTATACTATGAGACATAGCATTAGAGGTCATTAGCATGACCTCTAATGCTAGAGGTCATGGCCTTGTTTTAGAGGTCATTTGCACCTAATTTCGACATCATACATATTTTAGATCGTACAGTATGTATCATGTACACTACGTTGAAAATCAAGTAAAATGACAGCATGGTATGATGAAAATGAGCTCAAATGAATAGTATAAAATGACTAACAATAATTCGTCATTGTTAATGTCATTCTGTACTAAATGAGGTAAACTAATGTAGCAATGCATGACTTTGAAAATTATACAGCATAGTATAAAGTCAAAGTTGAGCTCAAATGACAGCAGAATGTCTAAAATGAGTTAAAATGTCATGTAGTGTACTATGACATGACATTGACATGAATGAAGTAAAATGTCACATCACAACAAAAGAAGATAAACTGACACCGTATAGTCTGACTTAAAAAAATGATGCAACATGAAATAACATGACTTTAAAAAAAAAAGGTACACTGCTTCGTAGTATAATATAACGTCTAAAACGAGTTAAGTATGACATTAAAAATGAAGCCAAATGAGACATAGTATAGCATGAGGTAGACAATGAGGTAAAATGTCACATATAATGTTGAAAAGGAGCAGGAGACGCAGCATATAGCATGTCACAAATGAGCTCAAATGATGCATCGAAATGGCATCAAAAATTAGTGACAAATCAAATGATGTCAAATATCAGCTCAAACTACAGAGAGCATGTTGAAAATTAGCTAAAACGATGCAAACTATCTATGATGTTGAAAATTAGCTCCAATGACAGCATGATGTCAGCAACGAAGCCTAATGACAGACACAGCACACAGAGCGGGGAAACTGTTATGAATAGCAATATGGAAAATAAAAAAGTGCTTGAACTTCTTTTTTCCTAAAGTTGCAAACATGTCACCCACTGAGTCAGTGTTTGTTCTCCCGCTGTCCTAAACCTCACAGATTACCAGCCATGCCAAGAGGATCTGAACTGTTTTATAGGCTGAAGATATTGGCACTGTGAAAGCATCCTGGTGAGGCAAGCAGCTGTGCTGGCCATATTGTGTATCGATCCAACTTGCGCTGCGATAGCTGCACTTAATCAGATTTATATTGTAAACAAAGACTCGTAGTATGAGATGTGAATTAGCAGGTAAATGTTATCCATCAAAGGAAATAATATTTTGTGCAGCGTGATGCAGTATTGGTATTTCAGAGATTTATCTGGCCTGAAAGCAGAGGCAGAGTCTTTTCTCCTCTGGGCTTACTGCAGGCTGCTTGCGTCGCCTCTGCAGGCTCTGCTCACCAGAACCTTTAACTAAATGGACACATGCATGGATTCAGACAGCAGGGCACAGTCGGAGCTGCAAATGCGCTTTTACTCGGGTTATTTTTGCCCTAAAATTTAATTAGTTTATCTGACGGGTTTAATTGTGACAAAAATGGAAGAAATCAGTAAGAGGGAGAACAGTTTTTCAAAGAGAAGTGGAAAAAGAGCCCCAATCTTTAAAATCTACCCTGATATTCACACTCTGCAGGTCTCTTTTAAGAACATGGATGCAGATAATGAAGGAACCCCACGATGATCTGTCCTTATCAGATTAGAAGATGAAACGGCATAACGGTGAACATTGTCAGATAATCCTCAAAACGTATTGTGCAGATAATTAGAGTTCAGTCTCATTTATTAAAAATATCCCTACAGCACCAAGCAGCCAGTTGAGAAATAGAGACCATATCTAAGGAGTAACTTCCACGACTGCAAAGTTTATATTGTCTTCTACAGAATATTTCAATCAGATAAATGATTCAGGTAACATAATGTTATGATGCTGTTGTGTTTCTAATCTTTACAACTTCCACACATCAGTTTCCTGCAGCCCTCTTGGTTTTTTTCTTCTTCTATTGACTCATTTTATGTTTTCATATCAAATATAAAAAAGATATCTAATGAATCTACAAATTGTCTAAAGATTACTTTGTTTTTATCCTGTGTCCTAGATAAAAATTGTAGTCAAAATTCACTGCGTTAGTGTTTTGCATCATTTTACTGCAGAAATAAGAACTGAATTTCTTGATACGTTTAAAGAAGTCAAATAAAAACAGCTCAATTCCACCCAGATATTTTTTCCCTGCATGGATTCATTGATAATGTTTACTGTTTTGTATGGAAAGTACTTCTGGTCCAGGGCTCAACTGTTTATCAGTTTCTCTCCTGTGATATTGCTGCAGTAAGATGTATATTTTATTTTCCATTAAAGGTACTCCAAGCCCAGAACATCCGGTTTGTCTGAGGAGGAGTGAATGTCAGATTGAACTCTGGCCCACCTAAAAACCATCTGGTTGAAGTGAACTTTGACTCTTCTGACTGGAGACGGCTCCAAAATTGGGAGGTGGACTATAGCGTAGGGCATTCTGGGTAAATGCAACCAAAACAACTGCATGAGTCTAACCTTAGCTGTACAATTGGGTTGGGGTGTTTTACCACAGACAAAAGAGAAAGTGCTAAAATTTGATGCCGCTCCATCGTTGTTTACATTTCATGAAGGAGGAAGTTGCATTCGGTGTCTCCTTCAGAGGTTTTTATGCACTGTGGCTTTTTATGACTGTAAAATATCACAAAAAAGGCATGGACATTAATTATTAGAAAATGCTGACATGTTCAGCTGTCTTCTGAGATCTGGGGGGGGAGAAAAAAAAAAAAAAGATGAGCTGCCCAGGTCTTCATTCTGAAAAATAATCTGTAAAAAATACCTGAAAACCTGCAAAATAAATGAAACACACATTCAGACCTCCCACCACCGAAACCACCTGCACATTTCTTGATTTCTTTTGTTTTTTTCCATGTATTTAATTTATTCTTAAAATATTTCATGATAAAAAATGTATTTATATGACTATGTTTGCAGTGCTTCCTTTCGGTACCGTTCCTCTCTGCTTCCTTCATTGTCCGGATCGCCAACGGAGAGAGGCTGGGTTTGTGCGAACAAACACAAGCACCAAAATAAATTAAGAGATCAAAACCCGTTGAGGGGGAAATGAATCAGTATTCCACATCGTGTACAATACAATATCATAGCAAATTAGCAGATTTCAATGGCGTCCACTCACTACCATAGATTTACAATGTTCTGTTGGCTGCACATCAGTCCTCAAGAAATTGTGTCGCTCTCCTGTTTTTTTTTCTTTTTTTCTTGTTAATGGTTCTAATAAGACTGACTTGGAGATGACCATGAAAAGAAAGCAGCTACCGAGGTGTGAACAGAAAACCATAGACTACGAGCCAGCAGTAATGAGAACAGCTTTTGTTCACGTTCTACTAAACTGCCATTGTGACCACATTTAAGTCCAATAAGCTTCTCTACAAAGGTACAACATATAAAACTGTTAAATATATAACTTTTTAAGGGCCTTTCAAAATACATTTAATGGCAATTCTTCGCTCTTCCCGTTCCGACTCGACAGTATCCGTCCGTACTCTCTGTAGACGTGTAGCATTTCTTTCCACGTGATTCTGTCCGAAAACCATAGCTACTGAAAAATCACAAATCTGTTTTTTGTTTGTTTTTTGTTTTTTTGTTGTTGATACATAGTTATACGTATGCAGTACCTATAGTTCCAGTTCCAAAATACAAGTTATGGGCTTCAGTCTGAAGGAAAAAAAAAGTCCAGAAGGTTTTAAAAGGACTCCATTGATTCGATTGTTCGCTTAGAGAGATTTTGTAGCAACCCCCCGCCCCCAAAAGAGGAATATGTCTCTTTTGCCACCTCTTGTTCTAATGATCATATTTGTTGTCGTTTTGCTCTTTGGTCTATAAAAATAAAGGAGTTTGACTCCAGCAGAAGGCCTATTCACAGCAGAGAGTGCACAGTTTGGTTTTTACGGCCTCGTCAAGTGGTCTGAAGCAACAGGGTTCGGTCTGTAATGATCCCAGCTGTGCTCTGGAAACTCCCCCACTACAGAAAGACTTGGAGAGGTGGCGATGGTGGTTGGTGGTGGGGGAATCCCTTTTTTTGTTTTTCTTTTGTTTTGAAAATGCAGCGAGCAGCTCCTTAAAAATTGGACTTCCAATGACAAAAAAAAAAAAAAACCCAAAAAGCATTTTAAGGTGTCCGGTCCTCTGCGGCGTAATAAAAGTTTTTCATCGAACAGGCAGATGCATTGACGAGGAGGAAGGCGCTGACCCGGTGACAGACGGCATGAGGGAGCGGTCGGAGACCCGGAGGTGCGAGTCACTGGAGGTGGGAAGTGTTTTAATAGTGAGTTTGTCCGAAACCCCTCAGGAGCACAAACTCCCTCCGTCGGTCACTCCTCTGTTTGGCACCTCTGGTTGTGTTATGACACCTGAAAACACACGAGAGAAAAATAAATTAGGTTTTTCACCTCACAAAAGAAATATCTCTAAGCATATATGTAGCAGCTTATTTGCATTTTTCATTTTTACTGCGCGTTTGTATTAACGACTCTTCAGGGATGCACCGCCATCTTTCTGTTTGCATTGTTAAACATGAAACGTTTCTCGCTTTCTATGGCAGGAGGTGTTTCTTCTCACTTTATGGTTTAAAATATGTCGGTTTGTAATAGGAGGCAAGAAACGGAGAAGCAAAACAAAGCAAGTCAGCCTCAATGGGGCCTAGCAAAGAAATTCATACCTTTTCGACACTTTAAACTTCAAAAGTCAGGTTTGTAACAAAAACCTCACATCACCCTGAAAACACCGTTACCATTGTGGCCTATGATGGTCAAACTTTGATTTTCTTCAGCACAGATAAGTATGGAGTAACTTTTGAGAAGCTGCAGAGGTTTACAGGGAGAATTTGTTGAAAGGACAACTACTATTAAATCTGACTTTTGTAGTGCAACAGCTGAAAGAAAGCCTGTTTTCAAGTGTAATACGTTTTGTTTGTATAGCACTTTTTTTAAACAGAAAGATAGTTCAACGTGCTTAGATGAAGGCTGCAAAAGACTGATCACTGAGACAGTTTCAAATAGATTTGATCAAGGCCTAAACATGTTAAACACTCGTCAAATTCCTGAACTAATAAAAATTGGTTTGTGGCAAGAAAATTGCAATTTGCAGACGCACTGTTCAATCTGAGTTTGAGATATTTTGTTGATTGACTCTTGATTCTTATTCTTAAAAACAACCAAAAATCAACTTTCATTTCCCCATAATTATGGAATTTTTGTGTTGGTCAAAATAAACCCCCCCCCCCAAAAAAAAACAATCCAATTGAAGTCTGTTTTAACATCACTGTATGTGCTGCTTATTATTTTTAACTTCAGACAGCTGCATTGTCTGTATGCTAGGTTAAGCTATGGGTTGCTATCCTTGGCCTATTAATTATTCTGTTACAAAACAAATTGCTGCCATTTGTATTTTCTTCCAGCAAACCTGTTGCCAGTCTGACTCATGATCCATCATCTGATCTGTTAGCGTTGTGTGGAAACAGATGGTGCTGGAGTCAACACTGGATTTCCAAAAGGCCTGACGGAGATCCACTCAGGACTTACAGTTCTCCTCTCCACACTCTTGAGTACAAATTACTGAAAAAATGGCCCACGACACAGTGAGTAAATAATTCAATTTCCTTTTGACAATAGCAGACTGTACATTAGTCAGTTTTTCAAATATTATCAGAAATTTATAAAGACAATAAATCAAAATTTGTATCATACGAAATTGTTCACATTAAAGGTTTTAGCGTGGTATAACTAGACAAAGTGGTGAGGCATGGTTACTTTTTGTGGGATGAGACAAAATGGCAACATGTAGAAACACAGGATGTTTTGAGCTTGTGTCAATTGCCAACCATCTTACTGACATTTCATACCAGCCCTGTGGAGATGTTGTGAAACTTTCATACTGGCCTACAAAGAAACATGCGTCGCATTTTGCTGTTCCTGCTAATTTAAAACTTTATATTTAGACTACAAAACAAAGATTTTAAATTCTTAAATGGCAAAAACTAGAGAATCAAAATTATGCTCTGTTACCCATCAAGTGGGGAAAAAAATGGGAAGATAGGTTTCAGATGGTTTGTTTACACGTATGAAATGTTTGGAATGAAATGACAATGGAAGCAGAAAGCAGACGTTCTCTGCATTTGCTTTTTCTTGAAGGTTTTCTAGAGATACGTTAGTTTCCCAATGGGTTTCTCAAGGTAGGCTAATTTCTCGAGATAACAACTTCATTTCCCGATGGTTTTGTCAAGATAACGAGTTAATCTTGAAAATCCAAACGTTCCTCCAGATTAACTCGTCATGGTGACAAAACCATTAGGAAATTAACTAATCTTGAGATGGACATTGGCAAAATGTATATGCGGAAAACGTACGCTCTCAGCTTCCTTACAGTGGATGGGTATGAAAATATTGGTATTACTTTAAACATTTCCCGATGGTTTTGTTGAATTAATCTCGAAAAGAGAGAAACCTCTACAATTTCAATTTAGGCTAGTTTTAAGTAAAAACGATTAAAACAATATAACATTTTCTAAATCAACTGCATTTTACATTTACTTGTGAAAGAATTGTGGCAAAATAAACTTTAAATCTACAAAATAGGGGCTGTTGCAAAGGTAATTTCCCCTTCATGTCTCAAAGAACTGCAGTCAGGTGAATGAAAGGAAAAAGCACCAACTATCTTTTTAAAAAGTAGTTTTAAACTTGCAAACAGCTTGCTTCAGTCTTTCATCATTTATATAAATGCCATATTGTTTTTTTTTCTCTCCAACACTTATCTAGAAAACAAAAAGGCTTCTTTTGTTCCGTGTGGTCCCTTGTCATGAAAATCACATTTAGCCGTTGTTCCCGTGCAAATGAGGATGTTAATTACAGCCCTCTGATTGCACTGTAAGAGTGTTTTACAAATCAAATATTTAGACATATTTAGTGAGTGTAAGCTAATAAAAGCAGTTAGTAACAGTGCAGAGACCGTGTGAAAAACATAATCTACAACAGAGAGCTTCTTCCAGCAGCCTCCTCACCATCTGGCCACTGCCAGTCACACAGTTAACTTGATAGAGGTACCGATGCCTTCCAGGAGCGCTGCAGCCACTGAAGCCTAATTCATAATAATAAACTCTTGACGATTTCACAGGGTGCAATTTGCCATGAAAGAGGCAGGTGTTGAATAGAGTACTATCATGTATCACAGATGACAATGTCTTATGCTTTGGGAATATTAAACATCCCACTGACTCTCGGTTTATTGGAGATAATGTCATGGTTTTGTTGGACCTGGACATCAAATGAGCCAAATCATTAAAGGTAAAAGCAAAGTCATGACAGCAAACTGCTTGGCCAGACAAGTTTTTGATGCCACAGTGTTCGTCTTTTAGAGCCTCCTAGTGGGCATAATGACATTTAAATTACACAAATGAAGAAAAAAAAAAGCAGAATAACTGCAGAGATATTAGAGAGAAGAAATGCAAGACTAGCTGCATAGTAAGTTTTCTATGATTTCTTTTTGTTCACATTTATACTGTAGTAAATAGTTTACTGCTATTACCATACCCAAATCTCATTTTAGGAAAACGTAGGTGCTCTATTAAAAGCAGGTGCAAAGTTCATACAAAATTCAAAGTGAAATTAAATTTTATAATGGCAAAAAAAAGTAGTAACTGAAGTAATAGTTACTTGAGGTTCATCAGATAAGATGTTAACTCTTTTTAAAATTATGGTTAGAAGAACTCTAACCCTCAAAGACCAGCAGACCAAATGGCCCTGTATGTCCTTGAATTTGTAAGAGAGAGAGAGAGAGAGAGAAAAAAAATATATATATATATATATATAAACATGCATCAAATTTTTTATCTACATGTACAGGACCTAGGAGTCCATGGATTTTTTTTCAATCTGATCAGAATTGACAAAATGGCAATATGTAAGTGTGTAAGTCATATTGACCCGACTCAAACAGAAACACCTTGGGCCAAAGCAACCTGATGCATCCATGTGACAGTAAATGAAGCTGTTAATTCAGATTCATAACTGCAGGAGGATTCTTTAAGGAATATGACAAACAAAATTCATCTGTGTTAACATGCAATTTTCTCTTGTTCTCTTGTTATGGAGCAGCCAAACAATTCACTTGATTCGTACCTCCCATGCCTGGGAGGATTAGTTCCAGGATGAGGAAGACATTCGATTTTAGCTATGTTACTTGGAGATTCTTTTCCCTTGGGGCTTCGATTGATGCATGGAAATGTGCATACCTCAATGCATTGCATCCGCAGTTGTTCTGACTGAACATGCTTGCAAGTGGATGAAAACTGTGCGTGCACAACATGGGAGTTCCAGGAGTGAAAATGTGCAAATATGGCAGTTCTGGGTTGACATTTTCTGTGTGAACTCTTCCTGACTCCCTTTCAAAATGTCACTGTGCCGAGACCCACGGTGAACGTGTGAATGGACACACTTCAAAGACAACAAATCTACACCGGCTCTCCAAAGTACTCATTCTTGTTCAACTTGAATAATGCAACAGCCGAATGACGAAATGATTTTGTACAATCTTTACACAGTTTGACAAATCTGACCTTGCTTTTTGCATCACCTCGCATTGCTTGGTGCGAACTTCTCCTTGTTTTATGTCCCAAGTCTTTTTGCACTGAAACGCTTTCCCCTCTTGCTGCAACACAATAGTTTTCCGGATGAATATTCATAAGAGAACAAGTAGGTTAGGAGCGATCCACAGGTTAATAAGGGACGGGAAATTGCTCATTACATGCTGTGATGTTGGGATAATGCCTGAAGCAGATGCCGAGATCAAAATCCATGAACATGTATGCACGGACCTCCAGACGCCGGTCCCTGTCTCACATTAGGATGGGGGAGTTCAAAGCTATCAGGGGTGTTATGTCATTATCAGGCCTTTCATAGCGCATTTCCTCAGAACATCAAAGTAAACACATTTCACTCTGCATTCAACAATAAGGATCAGGACTCAGTTCTCAGGAGGGAAACATTGAAGCAGATTTACTCCTGGTGGCATGTGACAGTCGCAACAGAATGGCACTGATTTGTTTAGGACACTAGATAACTTCTTGGAACTGTCAAACATATTTAAAACATTTGTAATTGAGTAAATTGAAGGGTCAGTAATTAATTGCATTTTAATCAAAAAACATATTTGTTAAATAAGAAATGCTTTTTGGTGCTAAATTATATAATAAATCTACACAGGAACTCAGATATTTATAGTTTTTATTCTGTTATCTAGGTTATTCAGCGATCAGATTGGCACAAAGTGCCATTGCATCTATAGCTTTCAATTTTAACCAACCTGTGATTATTTCTTTAGATATGTGAACTATAGATGCTGACATTAGCAATGGGGATGTCTCAGTTTTAAATAACATTGTTTTATATCTTGGTTATTTTACTGTATTTAATGTTCATCTTTCATTAAAAGTGACTGTCAAAGGTCCTTTTAGGATCGGGTTGCAAATTAGTTGTTGCCACAAACTGATGTAGGCATCATATTGTCTTAAACTGAGTTTCAGTCAACAGATCAACAGAATAAAGTTGTATTTTGGACTTGAATACCTCCAGCGATGATCTAAATGTCTGTAAAACATGCACACAACAAGCTTGTTTCCTAGCATCCTGTTAGATTGTGTTTTGAAACAAAATTTAATGTCAGTGGGCTAAGAAGTGGCTCATGGATGTACCAGAAACATGAAAATACAAACACTCCGGCCTGAACATTTGTATGTCAAAAAAACATCTGTTTCACATTTTGGCTCGTTACCATCAAATGTTATTGGGATTTTAGATGTAAGGAGGACCAACAGAAAATGCAAAAACAAAGTAAAATGATGGATGAGTAGGCCTGTCACGATAACAAATTTTGCTGGACGATTGTCTAAAGAAATTATTGCGATAAACGATAACATTGTTTCAAGGTCTTTTGACACTGATTTAATGGAAATTACTAATACATGCGATTTCCTGGTATTTATTTTCAAAATAATACGTAACATTGGAACTAATAAACTAAATAAAACGGATTCTCAGTCTCCTTTAACAAAAAACGTACTTGAATAAA